CGATGCAAGCACGACATGTGAGCATATCTGTTGAAGCAGTGAGTCGAATATGCGAATTCAGTTCAAATGACACACACTGGTGTGAGAAGTTACGTTTTATCGTACGGACGAACTGTATTAGCACGCGCTTAATGTAGCGGACCTCTTACACTATTCCAAACGGTGGGACTTGAATACCGCTCTGGCATTCCAATATATGCTCCACCGAGACAGCATGCAAACAGATTTTTCAAGGAAATGAGCCAGGCGCTGGAAACCGAAGACTGAACCAAAGCGCACGTTTTTGTGCGACACATATACATTGATCGGTGCAGTGTGCCTCAAGCACGAGTTCGGATAATGCGATTCACAATTAGTAGATATATGCACATCATTCCGAGATTATCGTTTGAGCTCCAACACTTTAATTCAATTAATATGGCTCCATACACTGCTGTGAGATGATGCGGAATGTCCTGCAGACGTACTGTAGGAGTACCCTCTTAAAGAAACGCACCTCTTGTATCATTCCAGTTTGTGTGACCTGAACACAACATTGAAATCAGAATTTATGCGTTCGAACATAACACGCGAACATATCCAAACAGCTTACACAAGGAAAACAGCCGAGCATTAGAAAACGAAGACCGAAGCAAAGCGCGCGCTCATCGTGCGATGCATGCACGTTTGTTGGTGAGCCGTGTCTTGGACGTCAGTTCGGATAATTGCGATTCACAATTATTAGATACAAGCACACCAAGCCGAGGATGTCTTTGAAGCAGCGGCTTCAACATTGCTGTTCAATGAATATGATACACACAGATGTGATATGCTGCGGCATGTCGTTTGGACGGACCGTAGTTGTGCCTTCTTAAGGTAGTGCACCTCTTGGATCAGTTCGATTCACGAGTCCTAATATTGTTCTGGCGTCTACGCTGATGTTAAATGACACTATGCGCAAAGAGAAGGTGAACTTCTAAAAGGTGGCTCGAAACCATGCCGCATTACGCATGTTGTCTGATTTCTGGTTCTCGTTTAACTGTTCAAGACGACATGATACTGCGCAATAACTTTTTAGTGATATTACCCAAAGAAAATAGGGGTTTGATGCGCATTGAACTTAATTCCGCGAATTTAAGGCGTGCCACAAGCTTCATGGAAACTCGTGACCATGACAACGCCAACAACAACAAGGAATTGTGTACATACATCAAAATCAGCGCTATCGAAATATTTGACCTACCACGGTAACATCTACTACATCAATCCTGTTCGCCTTTTTACATATTTTAATAGCAAATCTCAGTCAGGATCTTCAGCATAACTTACCTGGTTGGATGTTATAACATCCATTTTTCATAGGAGCCCATATCATTGGGAGAAGCTGCATAAGCTCAGCGATCTAGCCGATGAGACGCCTTACCTAGTAGAAAATCAAGTTACTGCGAGTACGCCCCTGGTTGCCAGGTTTACATAACCTACAGACTGAGTAACCGTGATCGTTGCCTTCTCTTACCCGTGGTGGTTCGGACACAGATACTCTTCCGAGAGGAGAGAACCAAAGACATACCCGCGGTCCTGGAGTAAAGACATACCCGTGGTCCTGGAGTAAAGACATACACGCGGTCCTGGAGTAAAGACATACCCGCGGTCCTGAAGTGAAGACATACCCGCGGTCCCGGAGTGAAGTGGAAGTGCAACGGGTTCACTGAAAGCAACAAGGCATTTGCCCTTTTTTAAAAACAACGTTCCCGAAGAGTAAATAGAATATTGCTCCCGGAAAGATCCATTGCCGTTATTGATTTACCGTAGCTGAGTGGTGAATTATGACGAAAGTCCTTCTTGCGCCAGCAAGCAATGCATCATCCATCATCCATGAGTCGATTCGCGTATATTGGCGTAAATCTGCTCGTATTGTACTGAAAGCCGCGCGATGCATTGTGCATGGTATCGCCGCGATTAAAAGAGCCGCGGTCCTGGTGGTGCGCGGCTGGTCGATGTGTGTGGTGAGCAAATAGCGTTCTGTCGTGATCGTGCACATGCCTCCTTAGTAGCCTTTTGCTGGTTGTTGACTCCAGGGTGTTTAGAAGTCCGCCGAATAGACCTGAGACCGACCCACGGCTGTGTTGGATGCTGTAGATTTGATATACCAGGCCGTGAGAGCAGGCTCGATGGGCCTGGCCGAAACGGACATGTTTAGTCAGTGTCCTGCTGTGACAGATCCATTGCCTCAAAATCCTTCTTCGGGACTTGCTTCTGCGCTCTGTGCATAGCTTGTCACCGAGGCACAAGTCCTAGAAGCAAACGATAACAAAAAAACACAGGGCCCTCACTTAGACGCTGTGGGCCCCGGACAGATACAAGGCCCCAGACCAGTGTAAATCACTGGCCCCGGCTTTATAGCTGATTGGGAAGTGGCTCCTCAGGCCGGTACCGGCACGGAGCCGGCTATGTGGTGTGGTAGCGCCTGACCACATGTAGGCCTATATCGACTCAGGGCGTCCTCGATTGGCACAAACGGCCTTCTAACCGCTATTTGAGGGTCCGTCTTCGCAGGTTCGGGCCCCTAAATAAGACTCCGACCAGCCATTCATGCCTTGAGACCCTACAATTGGGCCCTTGATCGTCGGACCCGGTGGGCCATCCAGGCTCTTCGGGCCTCCTCGAACACTGCCTCTGACCGACTCCGGGCCCCTTTACACCATAGAGACCCTGTTCGGAGCCCCCAAATGAGGCTCCCAGCTGGCTTTTCAGGCCCTCCGTGCCTTCAAATCGGGCCCTTTATCGTGGTTCCCGTTTTTAGGTTCCGAAGGGCCCTTCGGGCTCCTCGGAACCCCTTTTGCACAGCAACCATATTGGAGCGCTGCTCAAAAGAGCAGCGTATGTCAATGCTTAGACATAAATTTATGTGCAGCTTTATTCATGGGAAATTGAAAAACATCATCAGACACCTCAACCGGAGCCCATTCCGCATCCCCACATATTGCTCCTTCCTCTCCAGGCAACGTAGGAGCCCCGTTTATACTTGTATGTACCAATTGCTGGGGCGCGACGAAAGGCCCCACCAAGCAGCACGTGTCGGGCCAGGTTTGAACCATGCCTAAGGTATAGTGGAGAGCATGATGATGGCTGGAGTGAAGCTTGAAGCGCTGTCATGAATTCAGCTGCTCTGTTCAGGTCCTTCTTCGCTTCTTTCGGGGCCGAGGAAAGCAAATCCAGCCGTAGACCCAGCTGAAACGTGAGGCCCGGGCACGTCCTGAGTGTAGAAGAAAGCTGCTTTTGTGATCGTACTATCTTATAGGCTAGGGCTGGTGTGCCTATATTTTTAGCAGCAGCAATGATCATGACATAAGTTGAATAACATTGTATAACTGAACGTTTCGGTTCTGTGCATGATGTTGGAAAATTATGTGATGAAAAAGGCTTTAAGTGATGCGCCGACTCCTGGTGGTGATTCTGGACATAATCTGCATTGTCATTTAATATAATATGATATCGCGTTCTAATGCTGGCGACAACTTTGCCTGCAAAGTTTTGGCCGGTGACAAAAACCTTTTTGCCATCCCTGGCCTGCCGTCTATAGTCTCTATCCCAGCGACTTTGTCTCGCCGTTGGGCATGCGCTCGCTACACAGCTGTAACGTATCGGGCTCGATTTTGACCCTCTGCCAAGAGTTCCATCGTTCCCGCGGAAATCGGTGGCAGAGATTTTGACATTGAATGACCTGAGCTGCAAAACGCCTGGTTAATTCACAGAGAGATGTTGTCGGCTGCTGGATATAGGGGGCTCTATTCTAGACAGCCGCTGTAACCGTATAGCAGAACGGTCTGGTCTGCCGGACTGCCAGTTGGAGGTCAGTGATGAGACGGAAGGGGGGGGGGAGGAGGCGGAGTCTTATGTGTGGCAGCCTCGCGAATCTTGTAATGCGTGCCGTGGCATAGCCAGGATCTCGCCCAGGACTGTGCCAAGTAGGATGACACTTCGTTTTTGTTTCGTCCTGTTTTGTCATTTGCGAGACCGTTTTAAACTCGGGATCTCATCGTGCTGCCTGGAGAGCCCCTTCTAGATGTTTCCTGAGTCTTGCGAGCGCTTTAAACTGCCAAGGTACCGGTGCCTTTGGCCGCAGGGAGCCCTCCCGCCCCTCCAAGAGGAGCATGGATCCAAAAGCCCTTCATGGCGACGCCACTGATGAGAACGACCGGCTGTTCCATGCCATTGACATGTGCAACGGAGAGGTTGACAATTTCACTGGTTGCAATACCGATGACGTGAATCTATTCTGCTATCGCATATCCTGGTCACGGCGAAGAAGATCGCAATGGGAAGGTAAGCAGGCTACGAAGTTTCCCGTGACTTCGGTGCGTCATCAGCTATCACGATTTCGAAACTCAAGCCAGTCTTCAGGCGGACTCCTCACTTCAGGGCGGTTTCTGAGGCCAGTTATATGACTACGTCTCGGCAGGCGCCTTGGCAACGGCCGACCCAGCCGCGGAGCGTATTAAAGCTGCGACCCGGAGCGGCCCGGGCGCCTGACGGGTGCGCGCTGCTCCAGGACGTGTTCTTGGACGAGCGCATGCCGCTGTATAGCAAACGGGTCTGACCCAGAAACCGACCTCGCTGTTGGGAGCGGCCAGCATCGGCCTCACCTGCGGCGCCGCACGGGCGCGTTCACCCATACTGTCTCGGCCACCTCCCGCACTGACCCCGTTCCTGTTCATAGGCGTCGCTGCAGCGTTATCGAGTACAGTTTCACTGTGAATTGGCTTACTGATCACAGTTGGTGCCGTGGGCGGAGTGGGATCAGTTGATACGGTCGGCGGCGGTAGCCTCACTCGCTCATCAGTTTTAAAAGTCGGCTTGACGAGCGCTCCCGAATTGTCGCCGATACGGGCCAGTGACGTGGAGCCCAGAGGTGGATTTTGTTCGATACATACCCTGGGCCCTTTAATGCTCATCGACGTTCGAAACGCGAATCGCCACGCAGGTAAATTCGAGAGCCTGAAGTGCTCAGACAAAGCTGCACCAGAAGACCACATCTGGTACGCAGGATGATATTCAGTTCTATTCGTGATAACGCGGACGCCACATTGTCGCGGACAAGACACACTGTTTGAACACACGTTGAAGGCATCCGCCTACTCGATCGCGGGGAGGGGGACGATGGAAGGGACATCTATCACCTGGCCTGCTAGCCCGGGGACCGCGGAGGAGTAGACGACAGTTGGATGCGTTGGCCAGTAGGCCCAGAGTGCGACCGCGTACATGCAGGGACAACACGACACGGATAGTTCGCCAGGGACAGAGAGTGGGGATGTAGCGAGGGATGCTGGGCGCAGAGATGCATGGAACGCCTGAAATCCCCTACAGGGACCAGTGGCACGGGTGACACTGTGACGCGTGACACCGGTGACACTGGGACGCCACACCGGCGATTAGACACCGCGGATGGGAACACCGACCACGTGGGACGACAGCCAGCGGCGGAGAACACGCGAAGCCATAAACAACGGCTGGGTGCTTCTCAAAGACGAAGAGAGAAAGATTCGAAACGGCGCCAGCAGAGTGACAGAGTGCTTGGCGGCAGGGGACGACGGCACGTGCGGCGCCTCATGTCTCGGCGGGAAAAGGTGGGCTTGAAGGCACCACCGGCCCAGCGGCAGCTGTGACACACAGCCTGCACAGCAGCATCACAGCGGCGCGAAACCGTGCCCACGGCACAGCAGGCGGCTACCAGGAATGTACGGACAGCATACTTCAGCTGTGATGATGACGGCGGCCCATCGCAACGCAACGAACCTAGGCTGAACAGGCCGACAAACTAGACCCTGACAGGCTGACAGGCTCCGCAACCCACCGTCCCAGCTCACCAAGGTCGTTAATGGCACAAAGTTAACAGGTACCAATAGCAAACGCTTACCGCTAGTAAAATATTTTGTCTCAAAACTATTTAACAGTGCAAACTCGATCTACGCAAATCCTGAATACACTTACAAAACGCTACGTGACCGCTGTCACCGTTCAAGCGAGTTATTCTGGAGCGTTCAAACACTTGATACGGAGGCTTCTTGCTGACGCCAACACATCAACGGCACTCCAGCACTGGCGGACGTGGACGCCACGCACGACTGACACCTACCGGCAAAAACGTAACCTCTCGTACCCCTCACCGGCACGGGCGACGCCCCGATCGCTCCAGCGCCTCCAGCACCGGAGCCGCATTGTTCCAGCCAGCGCAGAGGTCAGCGACGCCGACCTTTGCCACCCTCGAGAGAGTGACCGGCCGTGGCGATGGACCCGTCTGCACGCGATAACCGCGCCTCCGCCTGCGATCAGCACTCGCCAGTCCGCCTGCAGCTGGCCGGGCCAGCGGGGCCACAAGGCACGCGCGTCGGCTACACCATGGTGATGTCGCCGCCGACGAGCGGATCGTCCAGCGCTAGCAGTGCGCTCAGAATCGGGTCGTGCTCGTCGCTGGCGCACAGCTCGGGCGCCAGCGTCAGCGAGCCGTTGTAGGTGGAGAACATGGGGTCGAGCACATCGTCGCCCTCCATCAGGCTGTCGAACATGGAAGCGTCGCCAAACAGGTCCTCGGCAGAGGGCGCCATGTGCACCGGCTCCGTCTCCGGCTCCGGCTCCTGGCGGGCAGAGGCGGGGGTGAGGCGCGTGTGCGGCACCAACACTCACCGCACACCCAGCGGCGAGGCACTAACACTCACCGCGCACCTAGTGGCAAGGCACCGACACTCACCGCACACCCAGCAACGAGGCACCGACAGTCACTGCACACCCAGCGGCGGGGCACCGAACCCACCGCACACCCCGTGGCGATGCTCACTCCACTGATGCACATGGAATGCTGGTCATGAGGGAGGGCGCTGGCCTAGCGGAGTACTCTGACGCCGGCCGGAAAACGGCAGGGAGAGAAATGTTTGACATATACGTTGATGGAAGAAGCATGTTTCGCGTTCGTCGTTTCAGTTTCCGGGCGTCCAGCCCTGTAGAACGGCCCCCTCACCTCATTTGGTTTGCTTTTTAAGCAATTGAATCGTGTTTCCTAGTTAGATATTCGGGAGCAACGCAGAGGAACACTGCCACCTGCCGGGTCAAAACTGAACTGCAGAGAACAATGCATAGCAGCCTCACCGCATGTGGGCTCTGGGAGTACCTGGGCGGACTAGGAAACCCATATATACATCAATTCCCCGTCAAGGTATGCGAGGCGGTCAGGGTACACATTCAGTCTGAACTTCCTTCACGTCACACCTTCAGTACAACTGAAATGTCAGAACTTGGTTGTTTTTTTAAATCCGTAAAATTTCAGCCCACAGTCGGACACCCGCCATGACCGGTCGTTCGCAGCATACTCCCCGTTTCGCAGCATACAGCATACTCGCATACTCCCCGTGTCCAGCCCTATACCGCTGGAAACGGGGAGTATTTCTACGAGCGGGATCCAAACATCACGGAAATCTGATTTAGGTCTTCTAGCGCAGCACTTATCAACTAAGTGAACCATATAGCAAGGTCAAATGTTTGGATGGTCTGGAGATTCGGGAACGATGACTCGCATGTCGATTTTGGAAGCGGTCCGCACGCGCCGTTGCCTCGGCTACTTTTACGACGCATGAACTGTCATGATCTCCATCGGTCTAAGCTCTTGCGTCGTTAGAACGGCCAGAAATCTGTCATGATCACCATGATTCCGATTGCTTACGTCGTTGGGAGCGTCAGAAATACACCATCGTTACCATTGTTCCAACCTCTTACGCCATCCGTCAGAAATCGAAGCAAAGCTGCCTACATTCCATCCTCAAACAAATGTAATACTAGCAAGCAATTGGTAATACTAGTATGTGTGGCGTATGCGGCGTTGGCAGGGGCCCACGTGCGTCGGTGGCACGGGTGCCCCTCGGCGCTGGCAGGGGCCGGCCGGCCTGCGTGCGTCGATGGCACCGACGCCCCTCGGCGCTGGCAGGGGCCGGCCGGCCTGCGTGCGTCGATGGCACCGGCGCCCCTCGACGCTGGCAGGGGCCGGCCGGCCTGCGTGCGTCGGTGGCACCGGCGCCCCTCGACGCTGGCAGGGGCCGGCCGGCCTGCGTGTGTCGGTGGCACCGGCGCCCCTCGACGCTGGCAGGGGCCGGCCGGCCTGCGTGTGTCGGTGGCACCGGCCGCCCCTCGACGCTGGCAGGGGCCGGCCGGCCTGCGTTGTGTCGGTGGCACCGGCGCCCCTCGACGCTGGCAGGGGCCGGCCCGACCTGCGTGTGTCGATGGCACCGGCGCCCTCGACGCTGGCAGGGGCCGGCCGGCCTGCGTGCTGTCGGTGGCACCCGGCCGCCCCTCGACGCTGGCAGGGGCCGGCCGGCCTGCGTGTGTCGGTGGCACCGGCGCCCCTCGACGCTGGCAGGGGCCGGCCGGCCTGCGTGTGTCGGTGGCACCGGCGCCCCTCGACGCTGGCAGGGGCCGGCCGGCCTGCGTGTGTCGGTGGCACCGGCGCCCCTCGGCGCGCTATCAGCCGCGGTCCGGGCGGAAGATCAGCCGATAGAGGGCGCTCTTCGACCAGATAGCGGCGCGCACCGTCACGGCCCGCGAGTGTCGGGCTTCCCAACTCGGAACGGCGCCTCCCGGAGAACGGCGCCGGACGGAGCCTGGCTGGGCGGCCAGGCAGAGACCCCCGCACCGGTCAGGGCGGGATGCTGCAGGTTCCCGCGGGCTCCGGCCCCTTTACAGCAGCCCCCCCCCCCCCCCCACCTAACCACTATGTGTGTCAGGGCTTCCTCGGCAGTTTGCTTGACAAAAAACCTGGCTTATATCATCTAGGCTTAAGGGAGCTGGGAATCAAAAAACGTCCATAGGCGCGTTGCAATTCTCGACATTACTTGAATTTTGCCTCTAAGTGTTAGCATCCATGCATCTGCCCTCATGTAATTGGCCGCCTCCTGTGCCCTCGCATCGCCTTGATGCTGCCGCCGTTATCCTTGAGTAAGCCTCACCATCGGATCGCCCAGCCTGGAAATCCCGCTGGGATCCTGCAGAACACTGGGTGGGTTCCCTGGGCGAGTACGTACCCGCGCCCGTGGTAACCCAGGACAGCCGCATTACAGCCCCACCTCCTAACTTTTCTCCTTAATCCCATAGTTGAAATTCCATAACTTGTGCAGATTGAAAACGCCCCGCTTCGTTTGAGCCACGGAGAGGCTCCCACCTTCTTCATTCTATGGCTGTGGCATGGCACTCATTTTCAAAAAGGCTCTGATCAAGGCCAAAAAATGTGTATTTCGTGTTGTTTGTAGTGCGTTGGTATTCTAGGGCACGCCGACTGTATTCGCTGTTTTTCACCTAAACCTTTCAGTTAAAAAACGAGGCGAGCATTTGAGCTCTAAACGTAGCGTTTGGTTTGCAGGGGCCTTTGCCTCGCCGTGGTCTACCACAAAGATGGCAAACCCGTAAACCAGGGACTAACTATCAGCGCATGCGCACTGCTTGGCACAACGGATACAGAAAGATTAGCTGGCAACTAGACAAAGATGATCAACACGGCTCCCGGCCGTCGAGTCGCAGCACTTGCGGCGCGTAAAATCCTTTCCAGTTCTGTCAGCAAAAGGCCGGAGGTAACATAATCCGATAAACAGGATCGGCGCGCCCTGGGCGGCAACTCCAGGGTATGTGCTGCAAGCTCTGCTTAACCGGTAGCCCTTACTGTGAAACCAAAGCCGTTCGCGCAAAGCATTCGAAATACATTTTAAAATGATGCATGACGGAGGGCAGATTTCACTCTTTGCATTATGAGACTGGGTTGTCCTTCCCGGAAACCGATGATTGGAGTTTTGGGCGCGCCGACGTGGGAGGTCATTTTGCGCTCGGTAACCATGGAACATCAGAGGTTAGACCCAGCAGCCCCCGGAGTCATACAGGCTGAAGCGTTGCCATATCTGAGAGTACCGCTAAACTTTCCGTCATGTTTGCAAATATCATTATTCACACCTTAGAGCTGAAACTTGCTTAATCATTATAGCGCAAATAGCACCTCCCGTCAAAAAGTTCGCATATGCATCAAGAGAGTCGTAGTTTCCACGGGTGGAACTTTCAAATGAATTTTGGGTTAGTCCGATCCCTTTGAGCTCGTAGGTCTCGCAACGATGCAGATGTTAGGAAATGGGTCGTGGTATACATTTACATCGCGTGGACTCTCGCCACACGTGCACGGAAAGAGGCGCATAAATAAGGCTGACGCTGATGCATGTTCGCAGCACTACCAGAATACCACTCACATCGTTACAGCCTGGGTTCAGATGGGTACTCATTGCTTAGCTGAGATAAGCTTTTTATTATACGTTGTGTTCTTCATCAAGAGTCAAATCTCAGAATCGGAGCCAGGTGGCGGGTAAGAAGAACCCTTCAGTTTACATCACAGTTGACTGTCCGCTCTTGTTCCTGCACCATCAGCCTTGGCCTGGGCACGCGGCTTGAAACAGAAGCTGATACATGGTCGCTGGGTACAGCGGCCCGCCGAGCGACGCCGGCTATTCGTCTTAAGCGTGGTCGCCGGGTGCCGCCGGCGCCGTCTCGAGCGTAGTCGCCGGTCAGCCTCACCTGTTTGACGCGACAGGCGGGCGGCTGGACGGCGGCGTCGGGCGGCGCCGGCTGCGGCGGCTGCGCGAGCAGCGGCGGCGGTGGCGGCGGCGGTGGCGGCGGCGGCGGCGACGCTGGTCTCGCGCCCGACGGCGCCGCGCACTGCGCCTCGTCCGGCATCGTCTTCCACAGCTCGTCGTGCAGCGGCAGGCCGTGAGCCTTCGCCTGCAGCTCCAACTCCTGCGGAGATGCGTGATATGGTTAGTGGGCGGGACGGAAAGTGTCTGCAGCTTAAAGATGATTTGGCTGCGCACTAGTCGCCAGCCCGACGCTGTCCTCAGGCCAACCCGCCGTCACTGCGGCCGCAGCCGCCGAAGAGCATCCGCACAAACCAACTTGCTGGCAGCCGCACAGGTCGCTGCTTGGCGTGCTTACAGAACCTAGTCCCACCTCACCAAGCATGAAAACACACACACACACACACACACACACACACACACACACACACACACACACACACACACACACACACACACACACACACACACACACACACACACACACACACACACACACACACACACACACACACACACACACACACATTCACAAACAGTCCGTCCGTTTCTGCGCACGTTTTTCACGCAGACGACCGTAATCACTACAGATCTGAGCAGCTGACCAATGAACCGCGCTAATCCATGCCCGCATCGCACCACCACCCCATCACGCCCGCAGAGCACTCCGTGCCGGCCAGCCGACGCGAGCAGCGAATGGCGCAGAATGAGCACGGCACAGTGCAGACGGCGGAGCGAGTGGCGTGTAACGCAGAGTGTGTCGGACAATGTTTACGAAACAGGCCGCGACAAAAACTGGACCGGATGTCGGCCGATCGGTCGTCCCGCAGGCCCGCCCGCAGTGCGTGTACTGCAGGGGAGGAGAGCCGGCGCCCAGTCCAGCCGACCTGGGCATGAGCGTGTGTAAGGAGGAGATGCATCGGTAGCTGGTGAAGACGCACACTGTGCTAGTTATAGCCGATGTACGCATCAGCTGTGGGAAGAATCTGAACGATGGAAGAATTCAACAGGACGTTTTTCGCAACTAAAAAGTTTTCAATCTTAACTAAATTTCCCTCGCTTTTCTGTGCTTTTAAGCGACATCAATTCACCGTTCACTGAAAACTATAAACTTGTCTACCTTCAGTCCCCTTGTTTCATCGTGTGCTTTTAGTTTTTGCTGTCATCGTCAAACTTTACGACCGGCTGAAGCGTGCCAGTGTTGGTGGTGACGTCTCCCTTCATTGCACTGACGCACAGCCGCCTTCCAGCCGCCTACCAACAGAGGTGGAAGACAGCACAGGGTCACGAGCCGACTCAGCGTCGTGAGATGAGCCCTTTGGCACATGCCATGTTGCGCATTGTGTTGACATTCAGCGCAGGCAGTCGCATTAATGGATGATGATGATGATGATGATGTATTAATAGAACCAACACACGCAGGGAACGTCAAGGAGGTTTTCTGTGAATGCCACCGCTGTTCTGCTAGCCCTTCCCCCCCTAACTTTGTCATGATCACATGTCAGATATGCGCTCCATATCTGCCTGCATGTCATCTACGGCGAGAACTCCGCCCAGGATTGGCAAGTCACCGAGGACAGTTCGGGTGGCTCCAGGCGGCGCTTTCCACCCGCCTCGGGTCCAGCGCATCAGTCATTCATTATCGGGTCATCGACCACACAGCCGAGATGGGAGATTGCTACACAACACTTCACTCCTCCCCCAACCAGAGATATTTACCACGACCCACAGGGCACCAACAGCGCGGTCAAGCCCCGCAGATCTGACGCAACCAGAGGATACCACTCGAGGTAACCCGGGCGGCGGACACAGGGTCTCTCGCTGGACCACGCTGGTACGCGCGACCGCCCGGCAGATGGCGCGCAGACGCGCGACCGCCGCCGACGCCTGTCGGAGCGAGGAGGGAGGACCTGCTGTCGTCGCTCGCGCCTCTACCGGTGCGCCGAGCGCAGCAGCTCTCACGCCGACTGCCGTGCTGAAGCCGAGGGATGCCGGGTCGAGGTCAGAGGTCAAGGTCGGGGAATGATGAGCCGGCACCGTCAGGGTGCGTGTGTGTCCACGTAAGTGACGACGCCAAACACCGGCGGCAGAAAGGTCAAGGAAAGTCTCGTGTGGCGGGAATCGGGCCGGGGCCTCCCGATCCAGAGTGGGACGTCGTGTTTCCGGAGCGCTCACGCCCCACCGTCGGCGGCTCCATCACCTCCGACCGGGACACGGGCCCCAGAGCACCCCCGAGCCACTCCGCCAGCCTCGTGCCCGCAGCTACCCCGCAGCGTCACGTCATGTCACGTGCGGCGGCGCGCGTGACGGCGGCTGGCCGCCCGGTGAGGCGCTGGAGCCGAAGTGGCGTGCGGGGTGCGGACGTGACGCCATCCCCGCCGGCCACACTTCACATCACGTGTGGCAGCGATGTGGCGGCGATGTGCCGCCGGACCGGATCTGGCGGGGACTTTCCAAAGCGGCTGCCGCGACGCAACGACACCGCGTGGACATGGCCGCTCACGCTGGACTGGCACAAAGCTCTGAAGGGATTTGCCTCAAATACCAACATGCGACGGGTGAGGCTGAGTGGTTCAAGCGGCACGAACAATCGTCGTTGAACCGATGATACCAAAACGATGGATATGCGCCAGTTGTTGGATGGAGGTGAGACTATGACACGTGAGACACTCAGAGAATCTAACTAAATCGAGGCATCCAGGTAGCTCAGGTGAGCGAATGGATAGTCCGACCAGTGATCTATGCTGGAGTTTCAGCTGAGGATCCAACTGCACCCCCCACCGTCTGCCTGCGGACCCGGCTGTCACGACCAATTCCCCGCAGGCCCCACCACGCCAAGATCATCCCGAGTGCGGGACCTATATCAACTCTCCTGAAGATAGCTGGCAGACTCGAGAGTGTCGTACGGCCTCGGTGAGCTCAGCCGATAGCAGCGTCTCTCTCGAGTGGCCCGGCCGGGGGCGTGCGCCCTACAGCCACTCAGGCGCCTTATCGGCCGAGCAGACGGCCGCCTGCGCAGGAGACACCTCCAGCTGAGAAGTCGGGCAGGAGGCCATTCTCGAGGACCGCTCTCGGGTGTCCTCTCAGCGACATCGCTGTCGCACTGGCTAGCTAGTTAATTCTTGGGGCTTTCCGGCGCCTCGACTCAGCGGCCCGTCGTACTGGAAAGCATTTTTATTGACTGATGTTTGAGAATAAAAGCTTCCGTCACATTATCTGAAGCCACGTCCGGTGGTCCTGTGAGGCTGTAAAGCCGTCCACCTCACTCCACCACCTCTACATCGGCATAGCAACCACCGCTGTCCAGCCACTGTTCACCAGGCCTTCACGTGCTCGGCACCATCACAATAATGTATACGCATGCATTGGCTGCCAGGGTGTTCAGGGCTCGGCAACCGCTGCTGACCCGGCGGATTGACAGGCGTGAGGGCGAGGTCGTGCTGCACCGGTAGACGGCCGACTGTCGGACCGGCCTCAGTCGGTGATCGGTCCAGGCTCTCATGGCAACCCGCGGCTCGTGCGGGCCCCGGCGGAGGACCGTGAGGTTTATGGCCACACTGACCAGGGACGCAGCCACCGGACACGGCAACGGGTGGCAACGGCACCACGCCACGGTGCCATGGCCTCGTGCATGCTGCCCCGGGCGGGCGATTTGCGAGCCTGGCACGGGCCTTGCTGTTGCGGGATAGCGTTAGCCTGTTACATTGCTTAGAATTGCCAGGTTATCGCAGGTCAGGTTAAAGCAGCCATAATCTGAAGCCGGGTGTTGAAGGCCAAGCAAATGCTCCACCGCCGTCGAAGCACGAACAGAGGCAATTTGCAGATTTGTCGTGACACTAAAAACATGATGGATACGCGATGTAGTTGTAGCATCCATGACTTCGAGTGCTAAGTAATCATGGATCAAATATGAACTTCGCTCAGTCAGAAGTGCAGCACCAACCCACTTGTCAAATATTTTTCCAAACTATCTGAGAGGCCTGTTGCAGGTGGGGGCAAAGGGCATATGATCTGTTATGCAATCAAAATGACTTATCTTTGATCTTATCCTGGGTTTTCACGGGCGTTGTGACGGAACGAGTAATTGTATCGCGTTTTAGACATGCTTTCGCGCCGGGTTTGTAATATTTAGACACTCTTCTAACGCCGTTTACAATCAAAGGCACAAACGTACGACATAATCTCGTCTCCATACTTTTTTAAGTGGAGGCCGTGTCGGACTATTCATGATCTAGCCCGTGTCAAGTCAGAGCACCAGGATGACCATCACGAAACCACAGGACGGTCCGCGTATGACCTCTGAGCGAATCACGTGATTTCAGGCTTAGGGTGGAACCTGCGCTGAAATCAGGTCATCGCTAGGCTGAACAGGTTGGTAGCTGGAACAGCCAATGATCAACGACCTTTGCCTCTCACGATAGACATCTCATGGGGTGACGAGCCATATGCCTTAAAATATCGTGATAGTCTGAATTATGAACTTTGAGTCCTAGCTATTATCGTACCCAGACAGTCATGAAGCTTACAAATATACGACGACCGCGAGCACATTGATCGTCCTGCCGCGTCGGCGTATACCATCGCTACATCCCGCAGTCTCGCAGGACGACGCGCCAGGCAGGTTTGCCTTGAAAAGCAACCTCTCCAAACGCCGCCTGCAGCTCATTGAGCGGATCAGTCCACTCATTACGTTCCCAATCTTTGTTGCTGGGTCAGTGGGAAAGCCCAAAAGCACAAAACCAGCCCGTTAATCACGACCAATGCCTGACGCCAGCAAGGTCGCCATTCGTACTGCGTCTTTAGTGCAGTGTGTCGCAGCGCGGTACAGTACAAACCGCGCGCCGCGAACAGTACAGCGCACTACAAGTACAGCGCAACAGTACAGCGCAACGCGCTCTCTGGGCCATGCTGGCGACAAAACTCCGCATCAGTAACGGAGCTAAAGAGAAAAAGGCTGTCCCAGAAAAGATACACAAGTGTCAAGGGAGGATAATACAACTTTACACGAAGCGGTTCGTTTTTTCAGTGGGACTTAGTCCTTTCCACGAGAAGGAAGGCCGCCAGTTCAATGTAGCCGCACGGCGTTTTTGGAGCTGGAAGGCGCATACCACTACATCACATCGGTATAAAACTAGCAGCATGTGCAAAAAAGCAAGACAATAGTGCAAAGTAATACCATAATGTCAGGACCAAGCTGTCAATACGAGTGATCATCACATAAGTCGAAATCGGTCAGCATTGGGTACCTCAGAGGTACTTTGAATGTTTTTTTTTCCATACACTGCAGTAAGCCTAGAGGCCGAATTTTCCAAACAATGGGGCTTGAGCACCCCTCCCATACCAAAGCCCACATAATGGGATAACTTCCACACCTATGGACATTCACCACAGCTTCCGGCATAAGATCTGCAGCGTGCCACAGAGTGTTCATGGCCGGTCCATGTCTGAAGGACGCCGGGTGTCATGTCGCCACCATGTAACGGGATGGCGTATCGGAATAGGCCGCATGTTTTATTCAAGCGCGATTTATGTGTGTAACCGAACAGTTACTGCAAGTGAAATGCGAGTGCCGTTATTCGAGTCGATGGGATGCAAACTGAACTCACAAGATGCCCAGTTCTGGATAGAGGTCAAAACGCATGCAGAGTAAGGCAGCATGCTGATGAAGATGGCGCTGCTTCTAACCGGTTTTACGTTGGCTGCGCGGCGTTCAGATTGTTTGCAACTAAGTGAATGGAGGATGTAGAGATAAGGCTTTTAGTCCTGCTAATGCAAGGCTCGAGGAAGACAGCACAGATGGAGTTCAGTCATTGCTACGGCAATAACACTTATTTCCAGAGCTATTATGTTTTTTGGAGACCTAGCTGACAGCCCGGTGAGCACTGGTGAGGGATGAGCACTGACTCAGATCCGGACAGAAGCGGATACAAACCAGCGAGACGCTACGAGCTCGGTCGTTCGGAGCTGAGCAAACATGCATAGCTTCCGGAAGGAAGGCGCTTGCTTAACGCCTCGAACCGTTTGCTTCACTTGTCCGTAGAACATTGGCGCTGGCTCAAGGAGAGGAACAAACCAAGCGCCCCTTAACGTCAAACCGCTCTTTGGCTGACGTAAGGCAAAGTATGCCAAGATGACTGGAGCTCCTATAAATCTCCTATAATATGTTCAGACTATAGTTCAAGATCAGATGAAACCTGTTCCAGCAAGTTCAATCAAATCCATCCTCACCCAAACTTCCATCACACGCTTCCTCCCCACATTTTTTTGAAGCATAGCAAATACCACTAATGGGACGATTTGGGGCTGAAATAGGCTGCCGCCAGGAATGTTTATATCTATACACACATATATATATATATATATATATATATATACATATACCTATATGTGTGTATGTGTCTCTTGTGTCTGTGTGTGTCTGTGTGTGTTTGTCTAAGTGTGCGTGTGTATGTGCGTGTACTGACGTCTGCGACATTTTCCCTTCAGCAACAAGTAACCACAGAGGTCATCCACTACAAAGGCGCTCATTCCAGAAGGTTACACTTCCAACCACCTATTACCAGCTGTTTTTGAAGGCAGCTGCAGCCAAGCCCTCCCCCCGCCGGTGCCAGGCGACAGGCGTGTTGGGGTACCGGAGGAACCTGTCGGGGCGCAGCGCACGCGAGCTGGCGGGCGGCATGCGAGTGTGCGACACTAACTCCAGACCGTGCGGGGATGCGTAAAACGCTAATGGTTCCGCCCGAACAAGGCGGGATCAAAATCGGCCGCCCGGCCAGCATCGTCCAGCCCCAGTGGCTTATTACCCCCCCCCCCCCCCCTCCACCCACAAACACACATTCATGTTGTTCCATTGAGAGTTAGTGCTGATCCTCTCCTGTGCTACAGCCGAAGCCCATATTGTTTTGCCGCAGCTTGGCCTGATCCTCCCTGACCCGTTTCCGGGGTCTCCTGTTGAAGCCTGACGCCCCCTGACCGGTGTGCGGGCTTCACCTGTATCCGGAGCAGCAGTCGCCTGTTGGCCTGCTCCATCTGTTTCTGGCGCGACTCGATCTCCTTGGCGCGCTCCAGGTCCTGCTTCAGCCGCCGGATGTACTCCACGGACGCCTTCAGGATCGAGCCCTTGTTTTGGCGACAGTCTCGTGATATGTCATGATACCTGGGGATATATGAAATGTGTCAGGCGTTTGACAGCCCCACCTGCCTCTCAGTGTGGAAAATAGCTGGAATGGCTGTAACTACTGTAGGAAAAACAGAGCTCTGCATATACATCGAACGCATCCGAAGCGGAATATTCGTAATATCTAAAAAACGGGCCGACACAGCGCAGCTGTACACACCGTTTGCTCCCAAATGCTCTACCGAGGCACCTGTATGCAATATTTGCAGACACATGTTCAGCTCAGCTCAGCTGAGAATGATTGCGATAGCATGACAATGCAGCTATTGGACAGCCTGAGGAGGCCAGGGCTAATCTACTGCTATCGATAAAAGCCGTGCATGATTTTAAATCCGGTCAAGTGGTCGACAAAAGGACAGACTGCTATGATGAGACAGGTCGCTATCGTCTCTTGACTTAGTGATACCCGCCGTTAGAAGCCAACCAAAGCGAAGCACTCACAGATCGCTGGACTTCGGCAGCAGAGTGCCTAGCTCCTTGATTCTATCGTTGATATTGAAGCGTCTCCTCCGCTCGACTGAAACACAGCGCGGTTCAGGTGTACCTCACATCACCACATGGGCACGACACTAAGCCAGGGCACCGTCGCCCCAGTCCGTGATGTGCTGAACGATGACTTGTAAAGCAAGACTGAACGTGCTGTGCGTGCATGGCGTGCTTTACACTGTTATTAACGAATAGACAGCGGCACAACTTTGTAGTTATTCCAAACAGACTAAATTGATCACAAGGGCAGTGCTCCAATATTTCTGCCTTGCATCCTACCTTGCATCCTACTTACATTACTCTCGTCTCTGTACCTTGCATAAAACTATAACGTCTGGCTAGCTTCCAGAATGACAAGAACGATACATTCTTTACAACTCTTTATATGTCTATCGAATGCCACAAGGTCCAATGCGCCCAGGGGTGGCATCGTCGGAACAAAACAAAACAGTCTCATTCATTTTATCTCAACCGATCAAGAACGATGGAGACTTGGAAAACAGGGAACGTAGAATTGCTAATGAGAATACAGTCTGGAAGCATTTTTCCCGCAGCTGGTAAAAAGTAACACAATCCGAGATGATCCATCAGACAAATGAGAGGCGATGACGATGATGCGGCAGCCCAAGCCAAAACAGGGGACCCAAATTAGTCAAAGCTTTAGCTAACGCTGCACTCACTCATGTTGTGGTTGTCTTTTTTCTGTCGGTCCTTGAAGAAAGACTGGAAGGCTTGATCGGAACTGAGTATTTCCTCGCTGTACGGATCGCTGGCTTCCGGGCACGAGGCCGGGTCCTTGACCAGCACGCCCCGGGGCCCGTTCGCCGACCGCTCCTGCAGGCTGGTCGGCGTCTGCAACGACATGACCCGGCTGATTCATCGGCTCCGACATCATCAGCCCGGACTGACGCCGCCGGCTTCGACACCCTCACACCAGTCAGCCACAGCCTCTGAGACTAGTCACAGTCAGTCTCTGACATCAGCAGGAGCTAGTAATGGACAACCTTTGACAACGTTGCAAGACTAGTCACAGACAGTCTCTGACAACATAGCAAGACACCGCAGTCTCAGACAGCCCCTGGTATCACAAGGGTCACCAGACAACATCACCAGGGACTCTAGATTGAATCTGACAACGTTGTGACTCGTGACAGACTTGACAAGCGGCCACTGCATGCCTTACGTAAAGGTTTCCCTGCTATCGGACCACACTAGCTTCATCTCATCAACACCTCTGTCGCCTCTTGTGTTTTTCCCGATTCATATGAGATTGCCACTGCCATCCCTCTTCACAGCCCTCAAATCCCCACAAGTCACTTAACCTCGTGACATCACTAGTAATTTCAGACCTATATCAGTTTTGTCTGTATGTCCAAAATATTTAAAAAATTCGTGAGCGTACAGCTGTCTTCACACCTTGTTCCCCATGATTCTTCAGCTCCATCACAGTACGCTCACAGACCTTGCCACTTATCAGAGGACGCCCTGGTCGACGCCGTTGAGTGGGCGGTGCGTCAGAGTGACGTTGGGCACATTGCCGTCGTCGCCTCCACTGGTCTAAGCCGTGCCCTTGATAGTGTCGACGACGGCGTCATTATGACAAAGCTGCAGTGGTATGATATTGATCCGAAGCGGTTTGAGAGCTACCTTGCTGGTTGGCGGCAGGTGGTGAAAGGCTGTCGTCTCTCTCTCTCTCTCTCTCTCTCTCTCTCTCTCTCTCTCTCTCTCTCTCTCTCTCTCTCTCTCTCTCTCTCTCCTCGTCTCTCTCTCTCTCTCTCTCTCTCTCTCTCTCTCTCTTTCTCTCTTCCGCTGACTCACAACGTCCCTCAGCCAACCTTGATCGCCCTATTCTATTCAGCATCTTCAGGAACGACCTTCCATCTTCTCTCCCTCACAGATGTCTAGAGTCTTATGCCGATGACACCCAGCTGCTAGACTCCGCTCATCCAGCCCAACTGTTCTTTTTGAAATCCTGACGAGGAAACAGTCCGAGTGGCTTGATTCTACTTCACAATGAACTCCCTTAAAATGAATCCCAGCAAAATGACTCTTCTCCTTTTGGCACTAGATAATTCCTAAATAAAACCCCATCTTTTCATCTTGACATTGCGGGACGCGAAATAAGCCCTTCGCCGTCCGTCCGATGCTGGGGGATACTACTGAAAACATCCTCTCATGGGATATACACATATCCCATGTTGCCAAAAAGTGTAACTCCATCCTTTCCTGCTTGCATAAAATCCGCCACCACCCTACGCCCGAGGTTCGTAAATTTCTCCAGTCCCATGTTTCCCCCGTCCTCTGTACCGCCTCTCAGTCTGGGACGGGGCCGCAGTGCGTCACTTAAACGGAAAACAAAGGGTGATCACCTTAGGGGCCAGGATCGTCACCGAAGCTCGGCGGTGAGATTCCGTGGCGGTGTTTGTCCAAGGGCTGAGCTGACGCGGAACTGGTGAACTCGTCAACCACCGTGACAGCCTGGCTGTATTCAGGTCCATTAATGACCCACGAGCTCACGTGGCGATCCCGTCCTTGTTCACCCCCACATACCGCTGTAGTGCCACCCGGGCGGCGGCGGAGAACGCCCTTGACCTGCCTGCTCTTCGCCTGTCGGTGGCACGCAGGGGTTTTTTGTGTCACGCAGTCTCATCCTGGAGCCACCTGGCGCCGACCATCACCGCTTCTCGCACCCGCAACGAGTTTTGCACCAGGCTAGAAAATTTAGGCGGCCCCGTTGTGCAATCATTGCTTGCTTGCGATTGCGTAACATGTGTTGATTATTCATATTTGATCAATGACTTCGTTTTTGGCGAAGTTGTGTGAACATCTGGACGCTTGATGATGTGCGAATGCGGGCCGCGTTATTGTTATGTTTTGATATCGCATTCATGCTACTTTTGTTATTGTACAGAATCAGATCATGAGCCACTTGTTGGGAATGATCCGTGAATAAAATGGACTAAAGACTAAAATCGACAGCCTCTGACATCATCATAAGAGAATGTACCTGCATCCTCTAAGCAATAAAGGCTACAGTTATAAGAATAAATCATTCGAATTATGCTCGTCCATGATTAAACCTGCTAATCCTCAGTAACTTGTCAGTGAACAAGTTCACCATGGACAAATATCGTGTCGCACAGATGTGCAGCGATCTGTTAGAAATAAAACCCTGAGTAGCATATGGTGGACAAATATCAGCGCTTGCTGTATAATGTGGGCGGCCGAGGCAAGCCCAACCTTCCTCTCACATCAGTGGAGCGATAGCATGACCTTACAGAGACCAGAGAGGGCTGATTTAGCCAGCTTGAGGGTCTTATCGTGCGGTGCACATTTGAAACCACGCTGCAAAGAGCGAGTTTCTCACCCGCGAGAGCGAGTTTCTCACCCGCGAGAGCGAGTTTCTCACCCGCGAGAGCGAGTTTCTCACCCGCACCATTTCGAAAGCTTGGTCGCGAACAGCCCGCAGCACCGTTATCAATGGTGGCTTCCGCTGCGTTGAGCAACTCTCAGAAAAACGCGAAGACATTGGCCAATTAGCCGGGACCCGTTCGATGGTGTCTCACTCAGCGAGGATTATCGCGCGCTCGCTGACCACCCATCAACGAGCTTGCCGACCTTCTGCCCGGTCGCCTGCGGCAGGGTTTAGCAACAGTCATGCTGGGCTTGCTGACAGCCCAATTTAGCTGTGTGATGTAGTCTCAACACATCGAGGGGCTGTCTCAGAATCACAAACGCACTTCGATGCGGTCGAGACCGCAGCTAATTCATATTCTGTAAGGTTCGGCTTCTCCGGAGCCGCCACCGGAATGCCCCCCGCCCCCGGTTTCTCTCGGGGTCGGGCCCATCACGGTGCGCGACGGACCGCTCCAAGAGCGACCCATCGGTATGCACCTCTGAATCGGTCACTTGGCCCGTATCGCACACGTCCCAGTGACATCTGCTCAGGGTCCAACCGCCCTGACCGGTCCCTTCCGCTAGAAAAAAGGCGATGTGTGATTTCTTCACCCATGCGTCGCCTATCCGATTCCGGCTCCTGATAGCAGCATATTTTCATCGCACGGAACAAGCCTGCGACGTGAATTTGAGCCTGCTGTTCCGTAAAACTGCACTTGACAGCAGTACAAGAATGACAAATAATTCGCATAATGTTCTGTCTACTGTCCTGTGGCAGCGACAGCTATTTGTGCTGCAGCGTAAATACTCCAGCAATCCATAGAGCTTCCACCGACCTGGCCATTACTCAACACTGATGCCCTGCTACTCCCCGGCTTCGTTGCATACATTGCAGTATATGGGGAATGGGGTATTGTGGTATGATATTTTCGGTATAGGGAATGGGGTAATGGGGTATGACATATTCCGTGTAGGGAATGGGGGATGAACCGGAGGGTATGCGGCCCGGGGCGCAGCAGGGCCGATTGCGGAGACTTGCGAGGGCTCACTGTGCAGCACGTGTAGGTGACAGGGCCAGCCCAGACAGAAGTGCAGACAACTGACGGCGGCAGACAGCAGACAACAGACGCCGGAGAACAGACAGACGGCAGCAACCCTCATGCCAGACACGAAAACGCGACCCGCCGAAGTGTGCTTGAACGGACATGAGTTCACGACTGACGCAGAACTGCGAGGATTCGGTCCGTTAGCCGCGCGGCATCAGCGCTGACGTACAAACGGTGCACAACATAAAGGACACTGTGTGTGTGGCACGTACGGACCCGGTGGAGGATGCACGCCGACCAGGGCTCTCCGCACGGCTGGGCGCTAGACGAACTGAGACGGAGCAGGGAGTCTGCTTGGTGAAGGTCTGCTAGCTTGAGGTAGACGTGGGGGCCGCAGGTTTAATGAAATCGCAATGGGGTGCCCTTATCTGTCTGCATGCGGTCGGGGGCACTGCGATAGTTGATCTGCAGTGAACTACTTGGATAACGGGGTTGCACTGTTGCTGCTGTTGCACGGGGTTGCACTACAGTTGGTACTGCTGCTGTAGTGCAGTAGCAGTGTGGGAATCAAGACCTGGCGAAAACCACTGCATTGATAGTTCACATGCGCCAAGCGAGAACTGTTCCCTGGAGTGTAACTCATACCAGTGACGTGTGTCCCAGATAAGAGACCACGTCGCATGGAGTTCATTCCCTTCTCTAGGATAAATATGAAGAAAAACGGAAATCAGTGTCGGCCGACCGATAGCGAGTCGTACACAAAATGGGCCATGTGTAGCAGGCAGTTCAAAATAAAGATCTGGTGCGCCAAGAGCGGCCCGGCGTGGTGCGTGCCCGGCCGACCAGCGCCAGGTCAGGCCGTGCTCGTGATGGGAAACAGAGATGTCGGAGAGGCACAACACGGACGACTCACAGAGCTGCCAGCGGGACAAACCAGGCCGGAGACGCTAAAGAGTGTCGGACCCGGACGGTATGTACGCCCCCCCCCCCCCCCCCCCAATGTTTTATGTCTGCTGTAACGACTCTCCTTCGAGACGGACCGGTCGATCTGCAATGCAATGAAGGGTACCGAATGCCCGAAGAACTATCATCATTCACGTCCACGTGGGCAGCGTTCGTATCCGAGGACATGTCTCCGTTCACGCTCTGGCATAAGAAGAGTTTTTTGTCGTAAATATCAGCCTTCTTGCCAGACACGTGCCCCTGCCCGAGCATTTGCCAGGATCGATGATGCGTATTGAAGCACTATTATTACGTGTTTGAGACCAGAGCCCCCACATGAAGCCCTTTTGATTCCGATCCTTAGCGATATGCTTCGTGTCACCAACCGGAAGGATGCTCTAACACGTGGACGATAACTGCACATGCTTCCAACATCTCTCTGTCCGACCAGACCTGAAACCAAACAAGCGCTTGTTGCAGAGCAGCTTGCGCTCCCGGCAGGCACACGCGGCAAGCTTTCACTCAGCGTCCGCCAGCGCGTGCCACATCGACGCACGTGGTAACGAAACCCAGCGATAACAGGCGATAACGAAATTAACAATTCTCGGCCACTCGCCGTGCTTACGGTGAGCGCCGCATCGGCCCCACTGCTCGCACATCTGTATGACGTATCATTACTCTCGTAATTGGACAGCAACCAATCCGTCATAAATCAATTAACAACTGTTCAAAGAGGCTTATCTGGGAGATACGAGTCTCGGGAGGAGACGTCTGCCTTAAATTATAGACACACGGTCCTCGTTCAGCAGTACAGAGCTCGGGTAGAGCTCGGAAGAGCTCGGAGAGAGAGAGAGAGGAGGAGAGAGAGAGAGAGA